CGGAAAGTAGAACTACATCACTTAAGGAATAATTTAAATACTTTCAGCTTTGCATTAGCTCCACTGGTATTAATTCAGCATTAAAGGCTTTGAAGAGTAGGAGCCAACCAAGCGTTAAGGACCACACACTGCCTTGCTTTTTTATTCCCTAATCATTTCAGAGCCAACAAGCCTTTCAGCGATGCTCATTCATCTCGAATCACACACAGACTTTCCTTTCACTTCTTCAAATTCAAGTATTCCACCTTAGGTAATTTAACTTTCCTCTTAAATTATGGGCAGTTATTATAAATCCCCTTTAGAATCTGTATAGTCTCCATGTACTTATTTTATCCTCCCCTAAATTAAAGCTTCTTCAAGCATTAATATCCATGTTAACATTAAATGTCCACTGTCATATTTCCCAAATAAGCAATTGCTTAAATACATTATCCTTTCCCTAAAATTTCATTTCTTATTTACAGTGGCTTTGGTAGAGAAGATAATGTTGCAGTGAACTAGCAAAGCAGTCTTAATTTCCCCCAATTCTATGCTGTAAGTCTTTAGTAACAAAAAGAATTTTACAGTGAACACTCACATATCCACTACCTCGTTTCTACAATTAAGAGTAAATTATCACACATATACCATCCATCAGTTTCTTCTCTAATTATTTTGAATTTAACATAGTAAAACTTTGAAAACTGGAATGTTCATAATGGGGCATTCTAGTTAGCTGAAGAATGATCAGAAAACCTTGGCTGAGTGTCTTCCACAAAAATTTCTGTCTTGATTTTGAAATTCAGAATCTGGTTTTCAAGCATCATATACAGGAACTTAATAATAGATGGCTAAGGAGACTAAGCTGAATGTAGTGACTAGGACTCTTGGAAAGCAGATGGAAAAGGACAATCCAATCTTTGATGCCTTTTAAAAAAATTTTGAACCCTGGCCATGTGCCTCAGTTGGTTACAGCATCATCCCTATATGCCAAGGTTGTGGGTTCCAACAGACGCATAAATGGGTGGTACAACAAATTGATGTTCCTCCCTAAAAAAAGCCATCTGCCCCATACCTACAGAGAATCCTACCTAAAACTTTCAAGAAAGTTTCAAAGATTTTTTTTTTATGTTTAAGATAGTATTCTATAAGGTGTACTTTGAAATTTCCTTTTGATTTAAAAACTAGTCCATGAGCCCTGGCTGCTGTAGGTCAGAGGACTGAGCCCGGGCTGTGAACCAAAGGCTCACCAGTTCAATTCCCAGTCAGGGCACATGCCTGGGTTGCAGGCCAGGTCCCCAACGTGGGCCATGTGAGAGGCAACCACACACTGATGTTTCTCTCCCTCTCCCTCCCTTCCCCTCTCTCTGAATAAATAAAAAAATTTTAAATAAAAACTAGTCCATGAATTACATGATTTGTGCTGACACAATTTTGCCTCAGACATACTTTCCCTCTGTGGGGATTTTTGAAAGATTCAGATTCAGGAGTGTAAGGAATGAAATACAAAAAACAACTTGGAGAAGTTAGCTCAGGAATCAGATGCTCAGCAAGGCAGGCCTGTGATTTTAAAATACATTTAGTTCAGCAATGTCCTTCGAAAATTTAAATACATAGAGGATGAGGCTTTTCAAACTTAACTATAAGAATGTGATTTCTTCAACCTGAAATAGCTATCAGTTGCATAGAGCATATGGGAGTTGGAGGGCCTTCCACCCTCAAGGATAATGTTATTCAGCAATATGAGAGGGCCATTAGGAGAAGGGAGATGTACAAAAATAATTATAAATAATCAGTTTTACCCATTTTCAAATCTTGGACTGAGAAAAGGGAAGGAAGCTTTATTCCTCCTTTTCACTAACTGGACCTCTTATCAGAGTTCAGAACTTGTTACAACTGTTGACTAACAGGGTGTTACAAGTAGGTATAGAACCACCCACCACTTAAGTTTCAAAGTAAATGCTTTCTAATTCAACTAATTTACTATGATGTTGAGAGTCCATAGGAGGCAGAAAGAAATGGTTAAGTATACCAGTAAATATGTTAAGGTTTATGAGAGTAAAAATGAGAGGCTATAGGAAGACAAAATGTTTCAGTTCCATTTTCAATGTTCTGCTTCTGTGCAAATTAACAAAGCTACACACTTAGGCCTGACCTATCTGCTACTCGCATTTCCAAGTGGGGATATATCCTACATGCACCTCAAAGTTCAACATGCAGATCCAAAGTATCTTCTCTGTAATTCTGATCCCCCTCCAGTTCTCTTAATTGCTAGTTTTAGCTTCCTAGCTGCTCGGTTCTTAATTCTATTTCCCAAACATCTCCCAAAAAGCCATGCCTCTTAAGTTCTTTCCGATGTTCTTTAGGCTCTTTCCTCTAATTTTAAACCACTGAAATACCAAGTGGTTGTCTTGTCTCAAGCCCTTTCCAAGCTGTTTACACAGGGTGGGACAAAAGTAGGTTTACAGTTTTTCTCACTCGAAACGCAACCAGCTTTTGCCCCATCCTGTATTCATGTTTTGTTTTTGAAGTAGTAGTCCCATTCCCTTGCTCATGAACCTTTGATGGCTCTACCATACTTACAAGATTAAGTGGAAACTTTTCAGCATGACATTCAAGGCCCTCCATGTTACTACAATATAGTCTTCCTTGCACTTCTCGAGCTACTAGATATAGTCCACATCTTTTAACTCATTATCTCCTTAGACTTTCCTCTGACAGTTCTTTTCATGTCAAATACTGTTGAATATTTTAAGGCCCAGCTCAATGCACCTCCTAAAGGTGTCAGATTCCCAACTAGACTTTCGCTTAGTCACTAGCTTGTAAGAGAGAAAGATGACTAGTTTTTACCTCTTCAGGCATTTTGTTGTGTATCAAGGGGGATATAGCCTGTACTTCAGTTACATGTTATTTCTTGCTTACCTGCCTATACTGTTAACTTTTAGCTTAGTTAGGCCCCATATTTGTACAGCATAGTAGCTTTCCATTAAAATACTGGGATGAGGTGACTATAATACTAGGCCTAAAAACAAACACTAGTCCTGATAAAATGTATTACTTGCTATAATGTTTTTATAAACCCTCCTAAAGTTTACATTTTAACTTACCACCTTTTAAGTTTGAAAGAATAGCTTCTGTCAACCTTGTGTAATCTGGCCTTTTATTCCCTTTTTCCTTTATTTGCCTACAAGGAGGATGCTGATACTTAGCACGAAGATTCATGTAAATAGAAGCAGCTCCTTCTATAGTATCATCAATGGCACATATTTAGTTTAATACACTTGGTATCAAATTATATAGATCCTAAAAGCAACTTCAGTATTGAAATACTAAGCATATATTGATTTGTTCTAGTGGAAGTGCCACTAGAACATGTGACAATTTTTTCTACTTGCATACTCAACTTATAAGCCTTTCAGCTTACAAGCCCCCTTTCAGGCCACTAAAATTTAGGCCTAAAGCTGGTGACTGCAGGCACGTTTACTTTATATATCCACAAAAGCAAACAAGTACAGGAATATTGGGAAAAAAGTTACAAGAGACTCCAATTGAAGAAAAATGAAAGTGACCGCATAGTTGAGTTGTACTATGGTGTAATGCTGAAACCTAACCTCAAGGTAATGGTATTAGGAAATGAAGTTTTGGGAAGTAAGATGTGAGGGCAGGACCCTTAATAGGATTGGTGCCTATGCAAAATGAGCCCCCCATGCTCCCTCTTGCTTCTCCCACATGAGGACATAGTGAAGACAACTTCTAATCCTGACTGCTATGGCTCAGTGTGTTGGCCAGTGTCTTGCAAACCAAAGGGTTGCCAGTTAAATTCCTGACTGAGGCATATGCCTAGGTTGCAGGCCAGGATCCTGGTTGAGGCGGGTGTGAGAGGCAACTGATGTCCCTCCCTTCCCCATCTCTGAAAGTCTAAAGGTGAATAAAAAACTTAAAAAGATACCATCTGTTAGGAGGGCCCTCACCAGACATCAAATCAACTGAGCTTCCCAGTCTCTTGTATTTTGTTATACCAGCTCAAAAGGACTCATGCTGCTGAGTAGTATTTTACTGTAACACCGAAACTACTTGTTCATACCTTTTTGCTAGGCATTATCTATAGTCTGATTCAACCAATTTTCTTCACTCTTCAAACTACTAAAACCTATTACTTTATAGCTATTTCCTTATGTTGTACCTTTAAGAATTTTAGCCATTCTTATCAGTTGCTTCCCTTAGAAAGTCTTCACATACATCCGTGTATGTATATACACACATAGATGGAATGAAGTATAGCTCTCGACATACAAGAACAAAGAATGTTATAGCCAGTGCCAGTAATGGCTGGCTGAGTTACAGGAGTTTGCTGCATCTGTTAAGACAGCAGATCTACTATTTCTGATTTTGTGGCAGCTGTAACACAAGTTACCATGCTTCTTGTACTGCTCAGTAAGTAAGGTGCCCACGTCACTACCCACCTTTGTAGAGCTGGAAAGTTAAGTGTCTTCCTCCCCTACCATGTGGCACAGGAAGGTAAGGCCTAAGGCTGTCATGCTTACTTTCCTAGAAAGGATAGCAGCACCTTTATTCTACCCTACAGAATCCTGTGCACACCCTCTTAACACCCTTTTTCCTTTCATGTCTAAATACTGCCCATTCAATAAAACTTCTCTAAGATAAACTTAACTACCATCACTCATTATCAATATAAACTAAGTAAATCCAATGGTCATTTCTTTCATTGAAAATGTATGGTACAGTCAAGTCAAATATTTTCTGTAAAAGTTCATACATGAATATATTCTAAGTTATAAATTGATCAGGTTTACCTTTAACCACAACCATTTCTGTTTGTAAGATGGGGAATTTCTCCCTTAAGTGGTACTAATGTGAAATTACCAGCCCCTCTAAATTCTAGAGAGAAGGGACAATTAGCATAGCTAAAGATGTTTAGCCAGTAAAGTGAAAGTTAAAATCCACCTCTTAGTGACACATTCAAACATGAAAAACAGGCACACACAAAGAGTCCAGACTAGTTTAAAAGGGGGGAGGAGGGGACCAAATTATTATTTAAAAATTTGATTACAACCGATTTTGTTGGCATTAACATTAGAGGTATTTTAAATTTGAATGTGGGCAAACCAAAAATCCGAGATTAAGTTTGGTAAACATGAGAACAGGAGTTTTCCAGTAATTACAGGTAAAAAGGCAGAAATCAATTTAGAGAAACATAGACAAATCTCATGTTTACAATGATTGTGCCACAGATTTAAAATTCAGTAGTGCATCAGTAAACTGTTCACATTTAGATCTTCACCTTAAGATTTGACAGCTGTTTCTTGAAAAATCTCTTGGTACCTTGTGCAAATAAATTGGTCATCCATGTGCCTTAGCACACACGTAAAATTTCTCCATTGTATATATACAAAACACCTACCATTTGGGCAGGGCAAAATACACTTTCATAACAAAACTATAAGTACCTCTCAAGTATGAACAATATACACATAATACATGGTATACAGTATTTACAAAATATAAAATATAATACAAGCTGTTTGTAATTTTTTAAACTCATCTTTTGCACTTGTAAGCTGCAACAAAGGAAATTGCCATTTCTGTACCAGTTTTCTTTCAAGAGTCCAGAAATTTTGGAAAAATTATGTTTCACATACATACTGAAATCCAAGACCTAAGTTTGAACTTTTAGGAGAGTTTTTAAGTGTACCGCCATCAATTCTCTATTTTGGTTGGAATTTTCAATAGTGCTTCCCATCCAGTGACTGGGCGGCTTTGGAAGAACACTAGGAGAAGGTGGATCACTAAATTTTGCCCCTGCATAATTTTCCTTTTGGCTCACTTCAGTTAAAAATGCAGATTTCTTCAAATGCTTTTTTTTAATGTTCTCAGTATTTTTGAAAGACTTTTTTTCCTGCTTCTGAATTATATCAGATGAAACAGAATCCTGCCAAAAGTTATTTTCATTTCTTTTTGCAGAGGTGATCTTGGTTAGTGGTAAGTTATATTTGCTTTTCTGTCTGTTTATCTTTGGTTGTTCACACAAGTGCATACCATGAACAAGCTGCCCGTGGGGAATGGTAATTTTCTCCGATTTTCCTATGTTTGATATTAAAACCTACAAAGACAAGAAACATAAATGTGAATATAGTCTCATGATAAAAGCCAGTCATTAACCTCACCTATATAGCTAATATATATGTCATATATGTATTTAAAAGTTACCCTGGACTTTATTTAGTCCACTGTCTTGGTTAAAAACAGAGAGGCTGGCTGCACTTATCACTGTAAGTCCAAATATGCACATACCACCAAAAAATATAATTACCACTGCTACCAGTGTGCAATGTATAAGCCCGTTCTACAACGTCAAAGTAAAAACCCAAAGTAACCCCAAGTCCATGTTCCTATAATTCTAAGGAAAAGTAATGCCAACTGGTTTCTGATAAATCAGTGTTTCTACAATAGGATGTTGCCAAGAAATATTTTCTAATGCTTTCAATTTTGGTTGGTTGAGAGTATGGTGAAAATAAAACTACTATTACCTCTAAGACAGATACTTTTAAAAAGTTATTTTGGAATAAAAATTTTACTAGCAGGAGCTAGATTTTAGGTGAAGTTGTTTTGGTAATGGTTAGTAACTAGCTTCTAAAAATTTTTCAGATACCTAAATACTAAACTGAAACCTCAAAGTACTGAAATACTTACCACTTTTATCATCTTTTCCAGTTACAACAAATTGGGGGGAAAAAAGTTTCCTGCCTGCCCCTACTTTCTGGTTTCACAACTGCTTCAAGAACATGACCACACATTCTAGTCACTTTCTTAACTCAAGTGATCCTTATAGGAAGGCACTGCCAGATGAAAAGTATGAAGTAACAATCCATTAGATCATATGGCCCTTCCAACACTTGTATATGAAGTGGTAGGGAAGCAGAACACAAAAACAGAAAGAACACAAGGTAACACTCCATGTCATAAGGGAAACTGCTAGCAAAGTTTTCTGGTTTTAACACATTTGGTGGGGGGAAGGAATCTTATTAACCAAGAATCAAGAAATGCAAAAATTTGCTTTTGTTGTAATATTTCAGAACCATGGAATTTTGAAACTTGAAAGGAACCTAAGAAGATAATTTAAGGAATTACAGCAAAGAAGTCTAATTTTTCCAAGGGCACAGCTTGGTAACCTGCAAAACTCTCAGTACAACAGCCTTTCAAAAAATGGCAGTAACTTAATTTTCATTTCATTATTAAAGCTTAAGTCAACAAAACGTTTTATTTTGATATAAAGGTTACTTTCATTTCAAATCATTTTAGCGTTTTAATTCCGTTTACGTTTTTATCAATTTTACCTTAGTCCAACAGCAATTGGACAGCATGACGTCAATTCCCCTGATAACTCTTTCGACAATTTCAGTCCGAACACAAGTAATAAAACCGCTTTCTACTAAGAAATCCGGTACAGAACAGTAAAAACTGTTAAATAAATAAATTCTGTTCATCTGAGACTAGGACACAAAATATATCGTTTCAAAGAGGCAAGCACTCTGCTGCCACTCCTGTCAACTTTGAAAAGTTAAAGTGCAGCTAAGTAGGTCGGCCACGCGAAGGGCAGAGCCCCAGTTGGATCGGCGCCCTAACAACTCAGCAAAAATCCAAGCCAAAAGGAATCCAGCCCGTGTAGCCCACTCCTAATCGCTCGCTTGGGGGGGGGGCGGTGAGTGTACACGAGTGTTGCTCCCTAGTCTTGGAGCTACCCATCGTCAGCTGCCCCGACCTTTCCTCTAATACCCCAACTCGGCCTTGCCTCCTTCATGAACGCCGAAGCGCCCCGCACGTAGCGCGCGCTGACGTCAGCCCCGCGGCCCCCTTCCCTCCCCACCCTACCGCGCGTCCAGAAAGCTGAAACCCCCTGGAACGACGCCAGCCTTCTAAATGCGGGCTGTTGCTGGGGCGCAGCCGCACCTCTCATTGGCTAGACCTCGGGAACCAATCAGTAATGCCACCGCAAGCCTCCCCCTCCCCCTCATCCCCCTCGGCAAGAACGGAGCAAGCGTCACGGAAACTTCCCTCCCGAGTAAACAGCCGCCCCTTATCCCGGCCCCCCTCTGTGCGGGGCCCCAAAACCCGGAGCCTGGCCGTGGCCATTTAAGGTCCACAATTCCTCAACGGTCCCTTTACCCTCTCGTGGAACTCACCTCTTTTCTAAATGAGGGGTGGCCAGGTACCGCAGGAGGTAGCGGACCAGGGCAAAGGCTCGCGCCCTCAGTTTCGGTTGCGGTCCCAGGAGCCGGGGCCGAGGCGGCAGCCTGGTCCGGGACTTCCTGCGCTCGGTTCCGGCCCGTTGAGCTCCGCCCGCTCTCTAGGCTCGGCCGGTGCTGCTGGTACTGGTGGAAGCGGTTGGGCAGCTGCCCTGCCGGGCTGGCCCGCACCTTCTTCTTTCGCCGCTTCTTTGGAGCGGCCCGAGGGGTGCCTCCCGCCGGGACCAGGTTGCAGTTGGGCAGAGGTGCTGGGGTGCGAGGCTGAGGGGTCAGACACGGGCCGTCCCCCCCTAGGAAGTGAGGGAGAAACAGGGTGGGAGGCAGTGCTCGGGGGTCCGGAATCCGGGGTAAAGGCGGTGGAGCCGAGGGTACCATCGGGAGGGCCCCGAAGTAACCGCGGGCGGAAAAGCCCAGGGGCGCAAGGCGGCCGCCCAGGATCAGCGGCTCCCGCTGCGGGACAGAGACGACGGTCATGGCGCTAGGAGAAAAGTGGTTCCGCAGGAAGAGAATGAGCAAGCGAAGCCAGAGATGAAGGCGGCGCGGCTGCTGCTAAGAGTGCCCGAGAAGAGCGCGGACAGGGACTCGGGCGGTGGCGGCGCAGCAACAAATAGCCTCGGCTCCAGCTCCAAGTGTTGTTATCGGAAGCTCCTCCCTGCAACCACCCACCTCCCTGCAAAAACCCAATCGGAATGCGACAGGGCCTGCACCCCCGCGGCTCCGCCCCCACCGCCTCTGAAAGACACACACAAACAACTAGCTTGCTGCAGAGGGGCACAAAGAACGCGCACTGCGCAGGCGCTGCCAACGGGCTCTTTGGGGAAGAGTCGGCCCCGCGAACAATGAAGTTCCTTTTCAGCCCCACCTCCCCCACCCTTCTCCTTCGAAGCCCCCGCTCCTCGCCCTCTAGGCAGAGGTCAGATTGAATTTGGTTATGGGTTTGGTGGGGTGAGAGGGAGGGAGAAGGAGTCCCCAATCACCTAGGCCAATGTCCCTGGGCAAGGGTTCTTTTATATTCCTAGCCCAACATAATAGCATTATCGGTTTTATTTATTTCAAAGTACATTATGGGGGTTTCTTTCCTAGCAATCGTGAACGAAATCAGTCCACATTTATAATTGGTCAATGTAGCTCATGTTTTTTTCATTTACTCGGATGAGTAAAAATGCTCGTTAGCCGTGGTGGCCGGAGTGAGAATTAAGGGAATGAAATTGATTGAAATTCGCCCCTTAATGTACAAAAAGTTCTCCATAAATCCGTAACTGGGCTTTGGAAATGTTTCTGCCTTCATACTTAAAGGACTGTGTGAGACTTTAGGATCGCAAAAAGGCGCCTGATACTGAATAAGAAGCAATGGAGGAGGCTTGAGTCTCTAAGGAGAAACTGAAGTAGCTCTTCAACCTAGTGTGTTTTCCTAGCTGTGTGTTGATAGGAATCTCACTCTAGTCGTGTCCCGGCCCTGCACTCGTTCACTCACTCGCAACAGTTGTGGCTATTTAATGAGCACAGACGCACAAGGAACTGTTCTTCATGTAAATTATCTCATATGTACTCAAAACTACTCCAACAACTAGGTTCTTATTTTACAGGAGAGGAAACAGGCTTAGAGAGGCAAAAAGTGCCTGTGAAACAGAGTAAATTAGTATTATAATTTGAACTCCAGTCCATATTTGGCAAGAAGAAGGTTTTAGCATCCATACTGCCTGCCAAACTAGATTGTAGGTTTTTAGAACACCCCAGTAATCTTACATTTCTCTGACAATTAGCTCAGTTGGTTAGAGCTTCTGGAGACGCCAAGGTTTCTGGTTCCATCCCAGATAAGGGCACATGCAAGAATCAACCACTGAATGCATAAATAAATGGAACAACAAATTGATGTTTCTCTCTCTCAAAATTTTAAAAAGTTAAAAAAAAAAACCCAAAACGTCTCTACCCACCACAGTCTTTAAGCAATATTTTTCATCTTTGTAGTACTGGATAAGTATCTTATGATTGATGACAAGGTTGGACTTTGTAGGGAATATGCAGAATAATGTTACTTAATAACTTTATACAAACTTTTAGCGCTACACTCTACCATAAATGATTATGGACTTTTATCATATTTGCTGGATTTTGTTCGCTTTTTCTTTCCAACACTTAATACATAGTAAGCTTCCCTGTTCATTGGATGAAAAGGAATCATACTTTTAGAACTGTAAAAGATCTTAGAGAACCTTTAATTTGAATTTTGGGGCCTGTAAATTGAAGTTGGGTTTAGGATTGGGTGAGGAAAATTGCATGGCAAAAGCTGGTGGAGAATATCAGGCAAAGATTATAAAACCTTGGAATGATTTAACTTGTTCTTTTGTTTTTAAAAGTTTCTACTTTTTCATGTTGTTCTCATTTTCTTTTAACCCTATAAAGGATTAGTCTAACCCTATGAAGTGCATTGAGAAAGGTTCTATTTCACATGTGATGTTTTAAAAGCCTCTAAAGATAAAGTAACTTGCTTAAGGGTTATACTGTGAGGCAGGGACTAAATCCCGAGAATTTCTAATGCCTAGTCCAGTGTTCTTTTTACTATATCCCAAGGCCTAGCAGGGGTTTCCAACCTTTTGGTGTCTCTGGGCTACACTGGAAGAAGAGTTGTCTTAGGCCACACATTAAATACATTAGGACATTTAATCACAACAAAATCTCATAATGTTTTAAGTAAGTTTACAATTTTGTGTTGGGCTGCATTTATAGCCATCCTGGGATGCATGTGGCTTGTGGGCTGCAGGTTAGACCCCCATGACTAGACTCTGACTTTATCTTAGGGTAATATAACATTGTCGTGGGGAATAATGTGTCTTCCAGGGTACTGCTAATTGGCAGTCAGTTCAGTGAGGCCCTTGATCAAATATACCTATTATTGGCCTGTGAGTTATTGTGTGTTACTTAGATTATCCTTTTGAGGTCTGAATGGTAGGCCTCCTGTTAGACCCTGGGTTTTGTATTTTTAAAAAGGTAACCTTGCAAGAGCATTTGAGATCTTGCTTCCTAGCATAAATCCTTGGTTTGGCTCAAAAAGTCTCTTCTAAAAATTTTTTTTTAATCAGAAAGAAAGGGAAGGGTAGGGAAAGAAACCTTGCAGCTGTGGCCACATGGGTGAATGGTGCTAAAATGGTGGCCTCCACTAAGAGACTGTGAGCTAGAATGGTCCACCAAAAGAGAGCAATCCAGGTTTTATGAATCAGATTATTGGATTTTATGTTACTTTTTATATATAATTCCTAAAGTCTTATGTTAATATTCAAACCTGGTTTCATCTGTGCGATATGATATAAAGGAAAAGATCAGATGCTCTTGTCTGAGCCCCAAGGGCCAATTGTAGCGGTAGCAAGACATTCCAAGGGTAAAGTAAATCTTGGGTGGTCTCTCAGGATTCTTGAAGCTTTTTGTTCCAGTGCATACCTTGGTTTTATTTTTGTTAATCCAACAGGTTTTTTTTAGAGGAATTTGTTTGTTTTTTAAATAAACCATAGACATTCAAGAGTGGAGAAAAGAGGTAAACACCACAGATAACAAAGAATTTTTAAAAATCCAAAGAGGTAAAGGCCATGTGTGAAATAAGCAGTTTACCAGCATAAGCACTTCAGAACCCTCTAAGTTCCTGTCCTCTCTTTGTCTCTTTCATTTCACTTCAGTCCTCCTACTCTCCCTTTCTCTGCCTTGAACATAATCTTTCGCTCCTCCTGCTCTGAATCTCTTTCTTTCCTCCCTCACTGTGACTTTACTTTCATTTCCTCTACCTATTGTGGCTTAAATCTTAAATGTCTAAGCCTCAAGTGACACCTATGTGAACAAAGGAACACTCCAATTTATACTTTACTCAATGCTCAAACTATTAGTCTTTCAAATCTATGACCTAACATTTCTCTAAGCAGTGAACACAACCAGGAAATCAAAATGTTTAAACTTAACAAATAAACATTTCCCTAACATTTAAGCATTGATTACAAACTTTACTTCATCAACATACTCTGGAAAGTTTAATTAAAATTATGAGGTTTTTATTTAAAAGCAAAAAAATATACACAAGTTTTCAGAATAATGAAATTTACACGGACACTTAAATTGCCTTTAAAGTATTATTACCATAGGTTGAGATGAATATCTTCATTACACCTACACTTAAACTTTTCTGGGGTTGCAGTAGTGTTACCATATATTTATTTCTTAGATCTTCCTAAGAGGATCAGCAGGCCCGTGCAGGTTGTGCTTTGCACAAGAGTGCCTGGCCGAAGGGGCGGGGGAACTGGAAGACAGCTCTCACTCTGCTCTTAAGGTCATCTGACTGGAAGCTGGACCACCTGGATGACAGAGGTGTGTCTTTTTCTTATTGGTACAAAGGTGTAAAAAGGACTAGTGGCAGCCCCAGGGTACAATAATATTAGGGGTACATAATTCTAGTTATATTATTATAACTAGAATATATTTATAACTAGGATATATTATATCCCTAGTTATAAAACCAAGAGAAGAAGCATGTTATTTGGAATAGCTGAGGTTTCAACCAATTGAATCTTAGTTGGGTCACAGGCCCAGAGTGCCTTCTGGCTGGCTCTCTTTTTACATATTGATAAAACTTTTCAAATCCTTGCCACTTACAGACTGTAATCCTAGCCTCTCCCAAAATGGTGTGTTTCTTTAAGATTTTATTAATTTATTTTTAGAGAGGGGAAGGGAGGGAGAAAGAGAGGGAGAGAAACATCAATGTGTGGTTGCTTCTCACTTGGCCCCCCACTGGGGACCTGGGCTGCAACCCAGGCATGTGCCCTGGACTTGGAATTGAACTGGTGACCTTTATGGTTTACAGGCCATCACCCAGTCCAATGAGCCACACCAGCCAGAGTACCCAAATGGTGTGTTTTTAAGGGTTCATTTGACCACCTTATAGAACCCAGCTTCTTATTATTATATATTTACATAGACTGTTTACAAACTGACTTGTCTCATTGTTACTATTAATAGGACCATTGAGAGATTTTATCTGTTATGATGCATGGACAGAGCCCACATAATTGCCGGTTGCTGTATTTTTCAGTACGTATGACATGCTATCATCTTGAAACACACTATTGAATTCTCTTTCTATTTTTACTAGGTCATTTTGGACCCCAGTGTTGATTTCATGTTGAATCTCCTTTTTACCTAGTTGTCAAATGATATGGAGTACTTCTTTCTGTTCTTGGTATAGTTAATATTTTTTGTTCAGGACTGCTTGGCTGATTCCCAATTCCCTCTATTCATTCCTCCCTACTTTCACAATTAGAGAAAAGTCATGTCTTATAAACTAATATAAGATTTTTTTAGAGATTTTATTTATTTATCTTTAGAGGGAAAGAGAAGGAGAGAAGGAGAGGTGTATCAATGTGTGGTCGCCTCTCGTGAGTCCCCTGCTGGGAACTGGCCTGCAACCCAGGCATGTGCCCTGACTGGGAATTGAACCTCGATTGTGTGGTTCACAGGCCCACGCTCAATCCACTGAGCCACACCAGCCAGGGCAAGGCTTTAGATTTAAAAAATCCCAAGACATATAACTCTATACTTATTAAACTTCTAAAAAATTAACATAGGTATTATCACATTCACTATCTTCTATAGCCACTACCTATTACTAAATTGTAAACTTCTTCCTTTGGAGAATTGCTAAGGACTTTCAGAAATTTACATAGTTTCAATTATCATTATTTTCCCTTTGTGCTCAAACTGTTAGAACTTGGCCAGTGAAAGACTTTTTTTGTCTTAAATATTTTATTTATTTACTTTTAGGTAGAGGGAAGGGGGGAAGAGAAACATCAGTGTGTTGCTGCCTCTCGTGTGCCCCACCCCCACTGGAGAACTAGTCCACAACCCAGGTATGTGCCCTGACTGGGCATTGAACTGGCAACCCTTTGGTTGGCAGGCTGATGCTCAGTCCACTGAGCCACAACAGCCAGGACCCGGTGAGAGACTTTTAAAGATGGTTCTACGGAGTCTTCAGCATTTCTCCCAAACATTTTTGAAAACATTCTTGCTTTAAAGTATTTTTTACTTTTTAATTGATTTGAGAGAGAAAGAGAAACACTGATTTGTTATTCCACTTATTATTGCATTCATTGGTTGATCTGTGTATGTGCTCTGACCTGAGATTGAACCCACAACCTTACCGTATTGGGGTAATGCTCTAATCAACTCAGCTACCTAACCAGGGCAGAACATTCTGGCTTTATAGAAACAACAAGATGATCCAGATTATCTTGATCTTTCTCTGACCCAAAACATGGAATGAGCTATTTTATAAGAAACCCTTGTTCCTTTAAATGAAGAGAAATATTAGCGGCAAAATCTGGGCATCAGGGTGAATATCAGAACACCACATGAGAACTTCTCTACCAATCCATCTTCAACATACACAACTGAATGTTCTGTAATAAACAGCCCTTCTCAAAGCAGAGGTAGAGAGTTCTGGTCTCACCATAGATTTTTAACTCATTTAATTCATTTTTGGAATCACCTTAGAGATTCCAGGTCCCTTTATACATAACCTTTATTTTCTTTTGTTTGTTAAAACATAGTTTTATTTTATTAACCAATGTCATCCTAATACATTTAATTTAAAATAAAAAACAACTCATTTCACATTAAAGCCCTTGTATTAGTCGATGATTCATGTTCAGTATTATTTAAACCATTTGCAGTTGTTCATTAAGTAAAGGAAAATACTTATTTACGTTCGAAATAAAACAGGTGTGGGGGAAAAGGAACACTGCATGAGTATGGATTATAATTAGGATAATATCACTAGTAGGCCATTTATTGGGTAAAATTGGAAGATATTTTTTTTAAATTACCACCCAGGGATATGTTTATTGACTTTAGAGAGAAAGGAAGGGTAAGAAAGACATTGACCCAACTAGGATCAAAACCTCGAACTAGGTATGTGTCCTGACCAGGATCAAACTGGCAACATTTTGGTGCACAGAACATCACTCCAACCTGGACAGGGCAGAAGACTTTTCTTTTTAGTGTCATGAGTCTACACCGATGTTTAAAAGAATTACAATTTAGGCTACTGGTCAAGATGGAGGCATAGGTAGGTATGCTTTGCTTTCTCACACAACCAGAAGAAGGATAACAACCAATTTAAAAACAAAAACCACCAGAAATGCCAGAAAATTGGACTGTATGGAAGTCCAACAACCAAAAAGTCAAAAAAGAAACATTCATCCAGACTGGTAGGAGGCACAGAGACAGGGAGCTGGGGCAGAAATGACTCATGGCAAGGTGGCAGCTGGTGACCAGCTGAGCCCACATTCACATTTGGATAAGCTAAGAGAACAACTAGGGAGTAAGACAGACTGCGCAACCCAGGGTTCCAGCGCAAGAAACTAAAGCCTCAAAACTTCTGGCTGTAAAAATCTGCGGGGGTTGTGGCACAGGAGAAAACATCATCTCACAGGAGAGTTCATTGGAGGGGCACACGGGATCCTAGAATGTAGAGAAGCCCATCCACCTAGAAATTAGCACTTGAAAGGGCACAATCCACTGGTGGGAAGCGGGCGAAGTGACTGAAAGTGGCGCGAGAGCCAAGCATGCAGCCTTGTTCCCTCGCTGACCCTCCCCCACATGTGGTGCCACAACGCAGCAAAGTTGGTTGCCAGCACCTGGTGAATACCTAAGGCTCTGCTCCTTACAACATAACAGGTGCACCAAGACAAAGAAATATGGCTCACATAAAAGAACAGATCAAAACTCCAGAAAAAACTAAGTGACAAGGAGATAGCAAATCTATCAGATGCAGAGTTCAAAACACTGGTTATCAGAATGCTCACAGAAATGATTGAGTACAGACAAAAAATGATTGAGTACAGAGGAAGAGGTGAAGGCTATACAATACAAAATAAAGAAAAATATACAGGGAACCGACAGTGAAGGGAAGGAAACTGGGACTCAAATCAACGACTTGGAACAGAAGGAAGAAATAAACATTCAACAAGAACAGAATGAAGAAACGAGAATCCAAAAAAATGAAGAGAGGCTGAGGAACCTCTGACACGACTTTAAACATTCCAATAACTGAATCATAGAGGTGCCAGAAGGAGAAGAGGAAGAGCAAGAAATTGAAAACTTACTCAAACAAATAATGAAGGAAAGCTTCCCTAATCTGGCAAAGGAACTAGACATGCAAGTCCAGGAAGGTCAGAGAGTCCCAAAGAAGTTGGACCCAAGGAAGCACACACCAAAGCACATCATAATTGCATTAGCCAATATTAAAGATAAGGAGAGATTTTAAAAGTGGCAAGAGAGAAGGAGACAGTTACCTACAAAGGAGTTCCCATGGGACCTATTAGCTGATTCCTCCAAAGAAATCTTGCAGGCAAAAAGGGGCTGGAAAGAATTCAAAATCAGGAAAGGCAAGGACCTACATCCAAGACTACTCTATCCAGCAAAGCTATTATTTAGAATGGAAGGACAGATAATGTGCTTCCCAGATAAGGTGAAATTTAAGGAGTTCATCATCATCAAGCCCTTATTATGTGAAATACTAAAGGGATTTACCTAAGAAAAAGAAGATCAAAACTATGAACAGTAAAACGATAACAAACTCACAACTACCAACAATTGAATCTAAAAATACAAAAACAAAAACTAAGCAAACAACTAGAACAGGAACAAAATCACAGAAATAGAGATCACATAGAGGGTAGGAGAAAAAGGTACAAAGAATAAGAAGCATAATCGGTAGGTACAAAATACAGAGGGTTAGGGTTAAGAGTAGTATAGAAGATGGAGAAGTCAAAGAACTTATATATATGAGCCATGAACATGAGCTAGAGGCGGGGAATGCTAGAGGGAGGGCAGGCGCAGGGTGGAAGACCTAGAGGAGAGAAAAAAATGGGACAACTGCAATAACATAATCAATAAAATGTACTTAAAAATAAAATATAATTTAATTGTAACACTATGAAATAATTTAAAACATATATTCCATTATAAAAAATAATTTTGTTCCCAACAGAATCTTTTAAAAATATATTTTATTTTTTTAAATTTACTTAATTATTGTTCAAGTACAGTTTTCTGATTTTTACTCCCATCCCAGCCCCCCCCAACAGAATCTTAAATGTTTAACTCCTCATTGAAACTGCAGTTGTACCCTCATGTATATCCTTTTATGTCTAACCAGTTGTCATTATTGCAGTCACATCATTAACCTTGGCAATCTAGTTACTTCTACTTTGTCTCTCATGTCTTTCTCTTCTTTTTATTTTTTAATTTTTCTTACTGTTCTCATCATCATCCTTATTTCATCTCCTCTTCCTCAACTATTAAAAGAATGGAACTGAAACATAATTCCTGGTCCACAGAATTTGGTGGAGAGTTATTATCTTTCTCATGATTCAAGCTCCTTCTAAAACTTGGGACATTGAGGCCCATTTCTACTTATAACAACTCTGGATTAAGTCATCAAAAATTTAATGCTTTGTGTGTGTGTGTGTGTGTGTGTGGGCATGTGTGTGGGACAGAATACACTCAGTAGAATATTGGCACATTTTTATTGATTTATTGATGTTACTTAAGTAAATAGTATTCTTAATAATTATTCCACAATTTTCTAATATAGTACAATTAGAGAGGGGCAGAGGACCACAGAAGAGAAGTAGTTTGCACAAGCATTTTACAATTATCAAGATTTAAGTAAAATTACTTCTTTAAAAAAAGCGTTATATAAAGTGTTACAGTTTTTTTCCCATTGGAAGAATTCACTCAGGTTACCTAAAGTAATAACACATAAACATAACAAAAACATAAAGACTGATCACACACCAGGCATCATAGCATTCTAGGAAAACTTTTGTCTTTGTAATTCAAATGTTTTATTGTTTATGCTATTACAGTTGTCCTACTTTTCCCCTCTTTTCCCCCTCCATCCAGCTTGCCCCCCAATTCTTATAATCAACCCCCACACCATTACCCATAGGTCCTTAATGTATGTTCTTTGGCTAATCCTTTCACTTTCTTTCAACCAGTCTCCTCCTCACTTCTTCCCTTTGATCTCTGTCAGTCTGTTTCATGTTTCCATGCCTCTGGTTCGATTTTGCATGTTAGTTTATTTTGTTTATTTGATTACACTTATAAGTGAGACCATATGATATTTGTCTTTCTTTGACTGGCTTATTTTACTTAGCGTAATAGTATAATCTCTTAGCATAATCTCTAATTCCATCCATGCTGTTGCAAAAAGTAAGAATTTCTTCTTTTTTACTGCTATGTAGAATTCCATTGTGTGAATGTACCACAGTTTTTTTTATCCACTCATCTTCTGATGGGCACTCAGTGTTTCCAAATCTTGGCTATTATAAATAGCACTGCCATGAACATAGGCATGCATATATTCCTAGGTTTCCACTCCCAGCAGTGGAATTGCTGGGTCAAAAAGCAGTTTCATTTTTAATATCCTGAGGAAATTCCATACTGTTTTCCAGAAAAATTTTTATACTCAGAACTCTTTGGAGGAATGGAAATTACAGTATAGTGCCTAGCAGACTTGAATGAAGTTTGGAAACTCAAAATTAACTCAGGATCCAGTGCAACCCCAGTACTCATATGTTTGTTGATTCTTACTCGAATGCCCTGTCACTGTTATGACTCAACCACTGCTTCTGTTAGTTTTCTGTGCATTTCTACTTCCACTGTTACTACCAGTTAACTCACCGCTTAAGTTCAAATTCCAGAGAGAGCACAACTGACTGGTGGAGTTTGGACTGGTCCAGACGGGATGATTAGATGATTCATCATCATCATCCTGGCTCAGATGGTGAGCCAGGCTGACAAGGCACCTATCAGGAGTCATTGGGGACCACTTCAGGGGGCACTTTGAGAAGTTTGGCCAACTCAGTACATTGTATAACCTACCTTCCAAGCACAAAGCATCCTTCTTCTTATACTTAGGATTCCAGGAATCCAAGTGAAGTGAGATAACCTATGGAACCTCTGGGGATTCTGACTTTTCTGGGAAAGCTGGATTTCTAACAACACTGTCTCATCATCCCTGATGAAGAGACAATGGACTGAGTAGAGGCTTTAACAAATGAGGCCTGTGTTCATCCACTTCATTTAACTCCTTTACTTACCTGCCTCTTTAGGCAAAGAAGCTTGAAACTCCTCCATTGAGTAGAGGCAGTGAGACAAATGGCAATGACTTACCTGTGAGGCACCCTAGGACTCAGGCTAAGGTATTCCGAGCAAATGGAATGGTGAACATGGGAATAAAAGCCTGAAACTTGATGACTGACATGAGTCTAGTGGAGAGACAGACAGGGTAGAAGTATGAGGGTGAGGAGAGGTCAGCAGCAGGGAGAGTGAAAGAGATGGCTCCCAGACTTCCCGTCTGGCTCATTTGGAGAGAAACAATAGCCTTGACAGGAACGTGAAAGTCCAAAAGGGGCACTTTGAAGAGAAAATTGATTTCTGTGGTTCAGTAAGGTTTTATTTGTGAGGTTCTTAAAGTCAAATTGATTGAAATTATTTTGCCTCTCAAAAACAGAAGAACCCCCAGATAATTAAGCTCTTTTACTTGCTTATGAACCCCTGATAGAAAAGGCATTCTCACTCTTGTTTAGTATGAAAACATAGAAATCTTTTTGCCTCCATAGAAATCACTCCCTCCAATCAATCTGGTTACTTTGGGCTATTTCATCTGACAGTTAAAGAAAATAAGACTTAAACTACTTCTAAGAAATTTAAAATAAATTGAGGAAAATGAATGGAAACATACCTTGTCAGATCTCTTGTATTTGTTCAGGTCCCAGAACAGTCAATTTAATCCTGTCTTTCTAGTCAGCTAAAGTTCCATAAGAAGAACAGCATATTTCACTTTTAGAAAATATTGCAGTGCCCCAATTTTTATAGTATTTGAACCTAGGGTTATGATAAAGTAGAATTTC